GGAGACAACATGCATAAAAACAAGACAGAGCAGAACCAAGCAACACTATACAACAAAACAGCAACAACATCAATCCACTGTGATCTGTCAGTCTTTACACAGGATCAAAGCTAACGTGGATGGATTTTATGGACCAAATCTTAACCAGATACAAGTCTTGGATTTACCAATGCAATCCAGAGAACAAGGTTCAAACAAAAGAGTAGCTTCTGAGGTGATCTGCTTGGCCAGTTAAATTGGAGCCAAGGAGGTCAGGTTAGAAAATAGACTTTGGGGGGATTAAAACAACAACTGGTTGTTTTGAATGACAAAGGATGACTACACAGGGGATTATTAGGAACTTTTAAGAAAACAGAAAGTTACATTGGTGACAAGAAGACCAGAAAGTTTGCACTAAGGAATGTTGTTTGGTTTTCCCCCTCTCCACCCACCTCTCATGACAGTACACCTGCTCCTTGTTCTTTGAGGGTGGCAATGGTTACTGTATGAGAATTTCATTGGGAAGCTGTATCCAATCCACTCTCCAGTACTGATCTTCCTGCTGTTTTCTTTCTTTCATAGAAAATAGGTCTGCACATAGAAAGTTTTATTTTTAAAGTCTAGATTTTATGTTCTATACAGAAAGTGCAATAACCTAATTACCATCCAGAAGAAATGGAATATTGCTAAATATTTGTAATGTAGAAGCATATTATTTTAACTTGATATATCCTCTTGTGGAGATGTATCCTGTGGAGCACAGGTTCACTCTGACCCATAAGGTTTGCTATGAATCTGAGTCAACTCCACAGCAGCTAGAGCCTTAACTCCATAGCAGAACCCTTAAGGGGTTCTTTAGCCAACAGAATGGCTATATTCCAGCATCATACTAAAGGGCGCTTGGTTGTTGTTGAAAAAACATTAATTCAACATTTTCTCCTTATGCAACTTAGTGACTTTTATCACATTCCTTTAGTTGTGTCAATAGCCTTGCCCTCTTTTTCCAAACCATTGTTCTGCTATTAACATAAATAAACTGATTCCTTAAGCTCCCTTTCCAACTTTTTGAGGGTGAATATTTTGGGGGTTCATCCAGCTTTAATGATTCCAGAAAGTCTGGATTCTATTGAAATGTATAATTCTGCTTACGAATCCTTCCTCCTTTTGATAAAAATGTTCAGTATTGGTAGCTGAACACTCCAGTTCTTTGGATATATGGCAAAGGATGTAATTATTTTGGAGGTAATTAGGCACACATTACATTTTCTTCCCCTATTACTGACACTCCTTCCACGTCTTTTGCTCCAGAGAAATAGAAACTTATAATTGTGCCTTGGAGGACTGCTTGCAAGCAAAGACCGATGGGCGTTTCTTAATATTTAACATTAAACTCCATCCACTCCCCCCTTAGTTTTATTGGCATATAATTAACATCAAGAGGAGTTGTACTATCATTACCACAATCACTTTTAGATTTTCATTCTTATGCTCTTTGCTATTAGCTTCCCATTTACTCCACCCACCCCCGGCCATTCCCCCCAGGAACCATTAATCGAGTTATTTTCTCTGTAGAATTACCTATTCTGGATTTCATATGTAATAAAACAGTAAAAAGACAAAAACTAATAATAAAAGTATAAAACAGATAAGAACCACAATAGAAAAGAAAACAAAGTTTTAAAAACTAGAACAAATTTAAATGGATCATAAGTGAGATCAAATGATAGTGCTGAATTTTAACCTAAATTTTAGCCTCTGCAGCAGTGCACTTTTCAATGCATTCTGGCCCATAGACACCGGATTCACTAAAGGCTTAATCCACATATATTTCCATTAGATCTTGAGTCACACCTGAACCACTGAGCCTTCCCAGTCATCCCACGTATATTTCCCCATCACTTTTTTTTTCAATTAAACTGAAACAACTTTAAAATGGGTCAAAGGGAAAATCAAATGATATTACATTTTAATCTTACTATGTCTGCTGTATTAGTCTGGGTACTTTAGAGAAACAAATCCACAGAAACTCTTATACATAAGAGAGAGTTTTATATAAAGGTTAAGTGCACATCAAAAAAAATCCCAAACCAGTACTTCCCAAGCCCACAAGTCCAACATTAACCAGTGCTGCCCAAGTCCACAAGTCCAACATTAACCTATATGTCCGACACCAATCCACAAAGTCCTCCATCTCACAAAACATACGCTATGATGCCAACTGCAAGAGGAAAGCCGAATCAGTGAACATGTGAGCATCTCAGCACTGGCAGGGGTCTCCACACGGCTGCTCCAGCACTAAGGGCTGCATCGGGGTAGGTCCATGTGGCTTCTCCATGGGGATGTCTTTCAGGAAGTGAGCCTTGCCAGCTGAAGCAGGGAACTGGCTAAGGCAGCTGCACCTTGGTGCAACCATCACAAAGCAAGAGAACCGAGAGAGACCTAGAAAGATGAGGCTCACTGAGCCATTTATCCCTCCACCCTTCAATTAACCCCACATGTGTTTATCAGCCAGGTTGGTACAAAAACTACCTACCTCATCTACCATAAACAATGTTTTTAAAATTCTATGAAAAATGACAGGTCAAGGTTACACAGTGTTACATTATTATTTGTTGTCCAAATGGGTCAGTTACAGTGAATTCATGTGTGAACTGAGATGCTCATATGGATCTTGTCAGAGGGCAGAGACCCATCAATATATTCCCACTAAGGCAACATATCAAAATAAGGACCTTTCAGAAGATTCCAGTAAGCAAACACGATAGGGACTTCGTGTAGCACTGCGCATGTGAGAAAACAACTTTGTAGACTGATAGTATTAATTATTCAGCGTAATCCCATCAAAAAGCCAATAAGAAACTGGCCAATGGTCCTTATGCTGCTGTGACTATTGCATAATATTTTGAAGAATTACTGTAAATTTTGCTGTTGGATTTTTTTTATTGTGCATGTAGCAGTATATTTTCTAGATTTATATACATAGTACTGTATGTATGTAAGATCTTGTCTATGGACAATATAAGCTTTTCTAGGCTAATTTAGACTTTTCACGATTCTGTCCATACCTAGTCTGACTCTTCAGTACTCAGTCCATGAGTAAAATAAGACATTACTGAATGGATTTTGAGTTTCATTTTAAGTGTTATGCAGTCACATTTTTCTTGGTAAAGATGTGACAACTATTTTATAATGTTTGGTCTTTTTTTCTAGTACCTCTAAGAGAACCCTAGTTACCTTACTTGGTGTGTGTACAGAATTACACAATGTAAAAACATGTGCTTTTGTTTAGGCAACTCGGTGTAACTGCCAACAAAAATCTAAAGAGGAAAAATGCATATATGCTGATAAATATACCCAAACACCCTGGAGAAGAATTTCTGTGAGTAGCATATGCCTTTAATTTTTTTCTCCTGTGATTTTCTATTTTGATGCTTTATTTCATCTTTTTTATTCTAAGCGCTAATTTTAATCTGCTATGCTTGTGCTCTGAATTGTTTTTAGGTAAGCTGCTTTTGTTTTGTTTGATTTTTCGCCCCTTATATGTTTATGTGCTTTTGAAAAACGTTCCTTTGTGTCTTATATAACTGAATGTACATTTAACGGCTTTCCCATTCTTCAAACTGTAGCTCATTTTGTTTGAGTGTCTAAAATCTTCCCTCCCTGCATGTATATATGGGGGTAGGATTTCCATATGCTCTAAAAGAAACAGAAGTCAAATATTGTGCATCCTTTCTTTACTAGCATATGGTTCTTTAAAAACACATACCATATTCTGTTGTGGTTGTGGTTGAAACCTTTCGATATTCTCTATTATAATTACTCTTTTCTAGAGACTTTTAAAAATATAAATGCATTAAGACAGTGTTATGTTTTGGGCCTTATTATAGAAAGCAGCCAATCTGTGGGTTTTTGTTTTTGGTCATTTTCTGAAATATACATAAAGGTATAATCTCTGTATATCAGAAGATCTTCAGTGATAAAAATACACTTGTTATAATTTAACCAGAGTTATCCACAACTCAGTCCAGAATGTACATGAGCCAGATAATCACCTTTATAATCATTAGTTATCATTATCCTAATGTATAGTGGTTGGTAGTAGACATTTCTAATTAAGGAGTTGCTTAGTAAGCCAGTTGATTCATGGTTTGCCTGTGTTTAGTACTGGAACCACAGAAACACAAATGAGTAGGGGAATGTATTAGTTATTGTAACCAATGATCTCATAAAAACATTCACCTTTAACGTATAAGATGGTTTATTTTTATCCAGTGAGTTATTAATTTTTGTAAATACTCTCAATAAGGTGGTACTATGCTAGGAATTAATTTATTCAACAAAAGTTTGATCTTTTGCTGAATAAATTAATAGGAAAGGTCAACTTTTCCTATCCTAGATTTTAGACTCTTAATAAATATATACTCAAACACCTTTGAAGTAGAAATGAGGAACTGAGGCAAAAAATACTCAGATATATTAGAATTCCTCCATGACCAAGTGCATATCAAAGTGCAGGTAGTTCTCCAAGATTCAGTAGATTTGGAAGATACAACGAGCCTGTGAAGAAGACGACAGTAGTAGCAGAAAGAAAAACACAGAAAGGACTTGCCTGGGGCTCAGTTATGATGTGATTGAATCCGGAGATACAATTCCGTTAATGTCAAAGAATATGGAAATTTCTCTGCAGGCAATTAAAAAGTAAAAGACCACCCTCCTTGTTTCTAGATGGAGTTTGTGGGCTTGCCACGTTTTCACCGTCCCTCACAGTGAGGCATGTGCATTAAGTGTGAGCAATTTTATTTCACCATACTAATGAGAGTCTTTATGCCCTCTCTGACTCCCTCAATCTCATTGTTCTAGAAACTGACTACTAGCCAGCCTTCTCATCAGGTGAAACTAACATATATAAAATCACTCCCAACACATTCTTGGATATATTCCTGAGATAGTTTTTTTATGATGTTAGATGAAGTGAAGACCAGTTTTCCAGGTCTAGCATCTCTTTAACAAACCTAGGCTCCAGGCTTCTCTTCTATTTCTAAACCTTTGTTTTGTAGTTAAGGTAACAGAAACCAGGGAGATTAAATGGCATATTAAGTTTCTATAATTAATATGTGGCGAGCTAGTATAATTAGAATAATTAGTGCAGTAGTGTGGGACTTCTGAGTGCTACTCCCAAGGTTCCTTTCCCCAAAGTACAGTGAGAGGAGCCTAAAGGGTTGACAGAATATTTGCTTGTTGGAATGAGAGGAAAGTCCCTGATAAAAGGAACAGTCTGAGTAAAGGCAGAAAGGTAGAGACATTTAGGAAATAGTAATCCATGATTTTGTCTGGCATAGCATAAGTTAGGGTAATGCTCATTGTGATGTGCAGTTCAAACTTTTATGCAATAATTGCTGGAACAGTAGTTTTACTCAGTTGTACATTTATTTAGTTAAATATTAATGTGTCCTATTAGCCAATTTTTCTATACTCTGTACTTAATGGAATTTATTTGAAATAAATTAATATACTTTAATTTCGCATTTTTCTATTTTAATGTAAAATTTGGTATTTCCTACTTTTTTTTACTATAATTAGAGACTTTCTCTTTTAGAAAGTTGCACTTTTAAACTTTCCATTTTAACGAGCAATAGCATGTTTAAAGATACTAATGATAGGGATGAGGAGAATGCAAGGAGATTTTTCTTTGGCAATATCTTATTTGTTAGGCAGCAGTTCTGGAAATCAAAACGTTAATATTAAAAAATACCCTAGCTTAATCTAAATTACTATTTTTGTTCTGGCTTGTTCTTTGAGAGGATGAAAGCTATAATATAA